ACCCAAAAACCCCTTTTCCTCCCCCTTTGGACAACATTTTGGTAATCCCGCACCCCCTCCAACTTCCAAACTACAATTCTCTGCATTATATCAACCCCCTTTGCCCTCAGACATGACATTCCACCCCTCAGCCTTCTCCTCGCTGCAACTTTCATCCCCCACGCTTCACACCCATATAAGAGGGGGGAAAAACAATACTCTCATCTTTTCCCCTTTTTTGCCCCCAAGGACAAATTTTCTTTGTTCCCAAACTCCAAAGTGCCCCATCACCTTTTTTTCCCTCTAAATTCTAGTTCACCTCACTTTATAGACCCATCCCTGACACGCCCCTCCCAAATATCTGAATACGTTCACCCCCCAACCCTCTCCCCCCAATCTATATTCAATCTTTCATCACCTAATCTTTTTGTTATCCTCAAAACCCTTTACTCTTTCCTGTATTCACCTTTATTTTCTTTTTTTGCACACCTCCCAAATTCATCCACCAATCTCTGAAACTTCTCTTCAGAATCCCCCAAAGAGCACATGTCTCAAAAGAGCAGCGTGACAACTCCCATTTTGTGTTGATTCTTTTATCTTTTAACTCCACGCCTCTTGCCAAAACCCCCATTTACTTCTCTTACAACCCCCACTATAAATTATTAAAAACCAGGGTGCACACACATCCTTGTTAAGGCCTACTTTTAGGGGAAAAAAACCCCCCCTTTTTCCCTACAACTCTAACTTGAGCCTCACTACCCTCGTAAAAATCTTCACTGTTTTTCAGAACCTACCCCCTACCCAACACTTGCAACATCTCCCACATCCCCCCCTACCCACCCTTTTCTACGCCTTTTCCAAATCCATAAATGCCACAAAGACCTCTTTGCTTATCTAAATACTTTTCATTTTTAAAGTTTCACTGTAAACCCGGTCCACCCCCCCCTACCTTTCCTAAACCCTCCTTTTTACTGCTATCCTATTCCCCTCTTTACTCTTAATTCTTCAATTAAACTCTCCCATACATTTTACCAGGTACACTCAAAACTTACCCCCTAAAAATTTTTTGCACCTTTTTTAAATCCCCTTTGCCTTTTAACAAAGGAACTAGCATGCCCTGCCAATCCTAGGTACCTTACCCTCTTCCTACAAAAAATAATTGCCCCAAACCACTCCAAAATATATCCCCCCTGCTTTTAAAATTTTATCTTTATCCCCTCAATCCCGGTGCCTTTTCCCCCCCTTTTATTTTTCCACTGCCTCAAACTTCCCCCACACCCAACGGCTCTTTTTCACTCCACAAGAGTTATTCCCCCCGCCCTTACAGAACAAAAGCTTCCCTATCTTCTCAAATTTAAAAAATTCCTCAAAAAATTCCTTCCATCTTCCCAAAACCTCTAACCCCTTTAATAACTCTCCCTCCTATTTTTTAAATACAAACCATTTTTCTAGGCTTTCTTAAATTGTTAACTCACCCAAAACTTTTTCTTATTTTTAACAAAATTTGTTGAAACTCTCACCCCCCCTCTCAATTTCTCTCTTTTTACATTGACACCACTCTCTTAAATTCCTCTTTTTTTCCATATACCTTCCCTCCTTGCATCATTCTCTTTGTAAAAACTTCTCATTGCAACTTTTTCTCCCTTAACTCTCTTTACATCAAATCCACCCAACCTCCTCTTCCCCCCTGCACCCACTTTCCGAAAACCCCAAACTTTTGCGAACATCTAACAAAACATTTTAAAAAACCCACCCCATACCTCTTTTGACCCCATTTGCCTATGCTCTCAAAGCCCATCACCCCCAATGCTGTTTATAAAATTACCCTAACTCCTCCTCTTTTTGTTTAAAACCTTCACCTCTCTTCCCTGATGCTTTATTCCCTTTTATCCCATCTACCCTTTTTTTCCCAGGTACACAACTAGAAAGTGATCTGATATATCTGTGGCCCCTTTTAAAAAATGTCAACCTGAAGTCTTTTCCAAAAGTCTTTTATCTACCAAAAAAAACCAAAAAAACTACTGTCATTTCGCCCTACATCAATCGTGTATACTTATTTTCCTTTTTCTTAAAATATGTATTACCTATAACTAACCCCTTTTTTATCAAAAAATTTATCAAAGGGTCCCCCTTTCATTTTAAACCCGGGACCCCAAACTTATACCACACCCTCCTAAAAGTTTCCCTACTTAGATTTAAATCCCCTACCACAATTACTCTCTCACTTGGTTTAAACTCCTATACATTCACTTAACACTCCAAAAATCTCTCCTTTTCCCCTGCATTCCTCTCTTTCCCGGTCTACACGCTATTATGACCCACTTCCCCATCCAACCTTTACTTTTTAACCACATAAATTTTTGAATTTTTACATTCTTTCTCTTTTTTCCCCCCCAAAATATCATTTAACATTACTGCTACCCCCCTTTCCTTTTCTCTAAAACTCTCAATACTCCGATTTTTAAACCCATTATTTTCCCCCCCGAAACTCTCCTACCCCCTTCACTTGTTTCGCTTGGGGCCCGGACATCCAATTCTTTTTATTCATAAATCAGCAAACATCTGTTTCTTGTATCCGCATACATCCACGCAAATTTTAAGCAACCCAGTTTTATAAAGTTTTTTTCTTCTTTTTTTAGTAATTGTTTAAAAGGAGAAGGGGTTACTACCCATTGCCCCCGCTTTTAGGCCTCATACGAACCATGGCTTTCGAAAGGGAAAAATTCTTTTCCACTTCCCCCTGGACAAAAAAGAAAAAAAAAAGAACAAGAGCATTTAGAAAAAGGAGAAAAAAACCTGTGTTTATTATTTAGCGTGCTTTTTTGTGAAGTGTGACCAAAGTTAAGTAGGAGTAGCAAATATCCCTGTTATCTTAGGGGTTTATGAGACAGAAAAAGAAACCGCAAACCTACCATCATGCAAAACGTTACAGGTTTTTGTTTCACAGTCATCGGCAGGACGGGGAGTACTTCCCTGGGTGGGTCTTCACCAACCTAAAAATTCCCCCCATATTTGTATGGTGGAAAATTAAAGGGATGAAAACACACCCCAGAGTGCGAAATATAAGGTATCTTCTGGGAAACAGCCATTTGGAGGAAATAGGTCAAAAAGCATAAAAGAACTACTGCAGCGCAAGAAAAATGGGAATTGGGTAACAAGAAATTTTTAAACATGGAGATGGAAAGCCATTGATGATACCTTTAAGGGGTTCCGTTCTTTTAAAAAACAAAAAAAGAAAGAAAAGCCTTTCATTATAATAATACCAAACTTTTTTAAAATTTACATGAAAAGGTATAACAAAAAACAAAAAATTAATCTTTTAAAATAGTTGTAAAAAGTTTCCAAACAATTTTTATGCAACACCATTTTATTTTAAAATACATATTATGGTACTGCACAGTACACAAGAAAAAAAGAGGAAAAAAAAAAAAATATAAAATTTTATTTTTTGTAGATGAAAGAAGCTATATAAAATACTTGAATTTTCATAAAGAAACTCAAAAAAATTTTTGGGAAAACCAAAAGGAAATTTTTTTAAAAATTGGGAAAATGGGAAAACAAGAGAGAGAATTTTGTATTTACGTATAAAAGTGGTGTTTAACAAATTTCATAACAAACCACCGGGAGGAAAACTTTAGCTCAAGATTTTCCTTTTTCCCCGTGGTTTCTGCATTGTCCCAAAATTTCCTTTTTTTCGATTTTATTACTTAGTTAAGATATTGTAAACTGAGCTCAAGAACAGGGTGTTTATATAACTTTGGAAAGTGTAGTTGTTTCATCTTTTAAAAACGGCCATTCCCCCCGAGGCAGGGCCCCCAAAGGGAAAAAAAAAAGTTTCCCTTTCAAAATTTTTAATATATATATAGGATAAGGGGTTACTGCCCCTTGCCCGGGGATTTTTTTTGCCCTTACAACACGCATACCTTTTAAACCTTTGAAGAGTTTTAGAGTTTAAGGCTTCAGAGAAAAATTTTGTTTTACCCTTTTCAGGAGATAAGAGGAAATAACTAGAAAAAGAACAAAGGAAAATAGAAGGAAACCCAGAGGGGTGGGTATAATATTTTGTACGTGCAAATGTAGCGTGACCTAAGTGTAAAAAGAAGTAGTAAGACTAAACCTAAACTTGCCCTGTTTATGAGACAGAAAAAAAAACAGTTCCCCCCCCCGGGGGGGGGGTTTTTTTTGGGGGCCCCAAATTTACAGCACCCAACACCCAAAAAATTTTTAAAAAAAAAAAAAAAAAAAAAAAATTGGGTTTTAAAAAATTAAAAAAAAATTTAAAATTGGGGATATATAAAAAGGGGTTGTTAAATATAATATAAGAATTTTTATAATGTAATTTTTTTAAAAAGTTTATGATTTTTTTATCAAAACCTTTTAAAAAAACTGTTTTACTATTTTCAATAAAATAAAAAAAATGGGGAAAAAAAAAAAGAAAAAAAAAAAAGAATGGGGATCAAAATACCCAAATAAAACTTGTGTTTTATTAAACTAAAGGTTTAAAAACAAATTTTTAAAATTTAGGGCATTTTTTATTAAAAATTGGGGGGGGTGAAAAAACTGTTTCACCAACTCAAAAAAAAACAAACCAAGAAAACTTTTAAAAAAAGACTAAAAGGTCTTTTTGGGTCATTTTTAAATACTAAAAGAAATTTAAATTTTCATGGTTTTGAAAAAGGGAAACTTTGGGTTTTTTAAAAATTGGAAATTAGGGTTTTATTTTAAATTAAAGGGGAGGTTTTTTTTTTAAATAAAGTTTTTTAAAACTTTTCAAATTTTAAGGGTTGGAAAAGGAAATTTTTTTTTTGGGGGTTTCTCCGGAGCATTTTTCCCCACTAAAAAAAAAAAAAAAAAAAGAAAAAAAAGGAAAAAAAATTCAGTGTAAGGATTTAGTAAACTCTTGGGTAAATGTAATGTTATTACTATGGTGTGAAGATTAGTACTGTAGTTATAATTAAATAGTGCAGTTAATTTTTTTAGTGACTTTTAAGTATAGTTTATGGACCATACTTTGGTTTCAGGAGTGTGGTAGCAAGAGTGGTGGAGGTGCAGCAGGCAATGGGATTGGATGTGGTGGAGTATGAAGATGCTCTGGACAAGCAGATTTTGGGGCCTCTCGCACACCTCATTAAAGATGAATTTCCCTCCATTGCCAAACAGAAGAAACAACTTAAGCAGGTATGTACAGTGTATGTTGTATGTATGGTAATGAATACTATCTGTTATAGTAATGTTATGAGGATGCAGACAGAGGCAGCTTGGGGTGGTGATCACTACACCAACACATGCTTATTTATCAAATACACAAATAACCCTCACATATAAAGAAACTTATGACAACATTTTGGTCTGACCTGTACCATTAACTAGTCACTATTATGACTATTTAATGGTCCAAGTCTAACTGAAACATCTTCATAAGTTTCTTTCTCCTGTGTGCAGCTTACTTGTGTATTTTTCCAGTCACAGTATTAGGCCTTCTTTGTTTTTTATTTATTGAATACCTTGCACTTCATGTGCTTACATTCACTTATGGATGGAAAGACTGAGAGAGGCCATTGTAGGCTGTGGTTGTTGTGTGTGATACTGTTGTGTCATTTGTATGTTGGATTGATAATTTTTTTTTTTTTCAACAAGTCGGCCGTCTCCCACCGAGGCAGGGTGACCCAAAAAAGAAAGAAAATCCACAAAAGAAAATACTTTCATCATCATTCAACACTTTCACCACACTCACACATTATCACTGCTTTTGCAGAGGTGCTCAGAATACAACAGTTCAGAAGCATATACGTATAAAGATACACAACATATCCCTCCAAACTGCCAATATCCCAAACCCCTCCTTTAGAGTGCAGGCATTGTACTTCCCATTTCCAGGACTCAAGTCCGACTATATGAAAATAACCGGTTTCCCTGAATCCCTTCACTAAATATTACCCTGCTCACACTCCAACAGATCGTCAGGTCCCAAGTATCATTCGCCTCCATTCACTCCTATCTAATACGCTCATGCACGCTTGCTGGAAGTCCAAGCCCCTAGCCCACAAAAACCTCCTTTACCCCCTCTTTCCAACCCTTTCGAGGACGACCCCTACCCCTCCTTCCTTCCCCTATAGATTTATATGCTTTCCATGTCATTCTACTTTGATCCATTCTCTCTAAATGACCATACCACCTCAACAACCCCTCTTCTGCCCTCGACTAATGCTTTTATTAACTCCACACCTTCTCCTAATTTCCACACTCCGAATTTTCTGCATAATATTTACACCACACATTGCCCTTAGACAGGACATCTCCACTGCCTCCAACCGTTCCTCGCTGCTGCATTTACCACCCAAGCTTCACATCCATATAAGAGTGTTGGTGCTACTATACTTTCATACATTCCCTTCTTTGCCTCCATAGATAACGTTTTTTGACTCCACTATTACCTCAACGCACCACTCACCTTTTTTCCCTCATCAATTCTATGATTAAACCTCATCCTTCATAAATCCATCCGCCGACACGTCAACTCCCAAGTATCTGAAAACATTCACTTCTTCCATACTCCTCCTCCCCAATTTGATATCCAATTTTTCTTTATCTAAATCATTTGATACCCTCATCACCTTACTCTTTTCTATGTTCACTTTCAACTTTCTACCTTTACACACATTCTCAAACTCATCCACTAACCTTTTCAATTTTTTTTTAGAATCTCCCATAAGCACAGTATCATCAGCAAAAAGTAACTGCGTCAATTCCCATTTTGAATTTGATTCCCCATAATTTAATCCCACCCCTCTCCCGAACACCCTAGCATTTACTTCTTTACAACCCCATCTATAAATATATAAACAACCATGGTGACATTACACATCCCTGTCTAAGACCTACTTTTACCGGGAAGTATTCTCCCTCACTTCTACACACCCTAACCTGAGCCTCACTATCCTCATAAAAACTCTTTACAGCATTTAGTAACTTACCACCTATTCCATATACTTGCAACATCTGCCACATTGCTCCTCTATCCACTCTATCATATGCCTTTTCTAAATCCATAAATGCAATAAAAAGTTCCCTACCTTTATCTAAATACTGTTCACATATATGCTTCAATGTAAACACTTGATCTACACATCCCCTACCCACTCTGAAGCCTCCCTGCTCATCTGCAATCCTACATTCTGTCTTACCTCTAATTCTTTCAATTATAACCCTACCGTATACTTTTCCTGGTATACTCAGTAAACTTATTCCTCTATAATTTTTACAATCTCTTTTGTCCCCTTTCCCTTTATAACGGGACTATACATGCTCTCTGCAAATCCCTAGGTACCTTCCCCTCTTTCATACATTTATTAAACAAAAGTACCAACCACTCCAACACTATATCCCCCCCTGCTTTTAACATTTCTGTCATGATCCCATCAGTTCCAGCTGCTTTACCCCCTTTCATTCTACGTAATGCCTCACGTACCTCCCCCACACTTACATTCTGCTCTTCTTCACTCCTGAAAGATGGTATACCTCCCTGGCCAGTGCATGAAATTACCGCCTCCCTTTCTTCCTTAACATTTAAAAGTTCCTTTTAAATGTGGACAATTTCTCCAGACATTAGGTACTAGGGTCAGTGAAGCTTTCAGTTATTTGACCAAGACCTTCCTCTGGATTACTCACCCACTCTGTAAAAAATTAAATACAGGTACACCTTGTTAATATGGCACTTGGTTTAAGAACATGAAAAAGGAGCACTGCAGCAGGCCTATTGGCCTATACTAGGCAGGTCCATGTCACACCCATCCACACCCACTCATGTACCTGTCTAACTATTTTTAAAACTACACAAGATTTTAGCTTCAGTGATGCTACTGGGGAGTTTGTTCCATACACCCACTACTCTATTACCAAAACAATGCTTTCCTATATCCGTTCTAAATTTAAATTTTTCCTTCTTGAACCCATTACAATAAGTCAGCAAATTTGTGACCTTGTACTAAGTGCTTTAATATATATTATTTTCCATCTGCCAAATAGTTAAGATTTAAATTTCTTATTTTTTAATCACACCATCTTTCTAAATTTTCCTTTCACAAACATGGTGTAGAACTTTCAAATAGACTTTAATTAGCTTTTCAAATGATTTGTTGTATATTGGACTCCCAATAGCCAAGTAGACACAAAGTATGCAGAGTACCATGCTTGTTCAGAGGACAAAGCCAGTGGGAGAAAAATTGTGTTAAAATTAGTCATTGTTATCAGAGTTGGCATGGTTTAGAGTGCTTCACTACTAAGACGATTTTCAATTACATTCATGTTTATTATTTTCAGCACTTGCCTTGCTCTTAACCCTTAAACGGTCCAAATGTATATATACGTTCACGTGCGTAGCGCCCCAAACGTATATATTCGTTTTCTTTGCCATTCATTCAACATTGCCACGATAAGCCTGAGTCACATAGACATGAGAGAATGGGTGTGCGCACTCACTGTGCGCCATATTAAAATAATTGGGGACGCCTGGGTATCATATGCTCTTTTTTCCTATTAAAAAAAGACAATTTTTTCTCTCTCAAAAAATTTGGGGCACTATGCGAGTGAACATATATATACATTTGGACCATTTAAGGGTTAAGATAGTATTGGCAATTTTCAATTTTTTTTTTTTAACAAGTTGGCCATCTCCCACCGAGGCAGGGTGACCCAAAAAAGAAAGAAAATCCCCAAAAAGAAAATACTTTCATCATCATTCAACACTTTCACCTCACTCACACATTATCACTGTTTTTGCAGAGGTGCTCAGAATACAACAGTTTAGAAGCATATACGTATAAAGATACACATCATATCCCTCCAAACTGCCAATATCCCAAACCCCTCCTTTAAAGTGCAGGCATTGTACTTCCCATTTCCAGGACTCAAGTCCGACTATATGAAAATAACCGGTTTCCCTGAATCCCTTCACTAAATATTACCTTGCTCACATTCCAACAGCTCGTTAGGTCCCAAGTACCATTCGTCTCTATTCACTCTTATCTAACATGCTCATGCACGCTTGCTTGAAGTCCAAGCCCCTCGCCCACAAAACCTCCTTTACCCCCTCCCTCTAACCTTTTCGAGGACGACTCCTACCCTGCCTTCCTTTCCCTACAGATTTATACCCTCTCCATGTCATTCTACTTTGATCCATTCTCTCTAAATGACCAAACCACTTCAACAACCCCTCTTCAGTCCTCTGACTAATACTTCTATTAACTCCACACCTTCTAATTTCCACACTCCGAATTTTCTGCATAATATTTACACCACATATTGCCCTTAGACAGGACATCTCCACTGCCTCCAACCGCCTCTTCGCTGCAGCATTTGCAACCCTAGCTTCACACCCATATAAGAGAGTTGGTACCACTATGCTTTCATACATTCCCCTCTTTGCCTCCATAGATTACGTTTTTTGTCTCCACATATACAGTGGACCCCCGACATTCGATGGCATCGACATTCAATAAATCCGACATTCGATGCATTTTAACGCAAAAATTTTGCTTCGACATTCGATGGAAAACCTGACATTCGATACGATTCTTCCGAGACGTGTCCACGTGTGGCCTGAACTGCCCCATGTGTGCCAGTGTTTACAAGCCAGCCAGTGTGCGCGCATCTAAGGATACATTTGGTACATTTCATATTATCCATATTATCACTGTTTTTGGTGCTTGTTTCTGCAAAATAAGTCACCACGGGCCCCAAGAAAGCTTCTTGTGCCAACCCTGTGGTAAAAAGGGTGAGAATTAGTATGGAAATTAAGAAAGATTTTGAAGGGTTTGGGGCTAACCCTGAGAAGCCTATGCCAGTTGTGGACTCCATTGTGCCTACTTCAAAAATTAAGGAAATGTGTGCAAAGTGGGTTGAACTGCAAACCTTTATGGATGAAAATCACCCTAACACAGCTATTGCAAGCCGTGCTGGTGACTATTACAATGACAATGTTATGGCCCATTTTAGACAAATCTTAAAGGAACGGCGACAGAGGTCCAGTGACTCTCAAGCTGGTCCTAGTGGCATTAAAAGAAGAAGGGAAGTAACCCTGGAAAAGAACTTGCTACCTCAAGTCCTAATGGAAGGGGATTCCTCTTCTAAACAGTAACAACTTGGACACTCTCCCCTCCTCCCATCCCATCAATCATCAC